AGTGTAGGCGGGGCGATCGGCTGTTCGGCGGGCGGAGCGGCGCTGCGTAAAACGGCCGTGACATCATCTTCAATGTGAAAAACAACATCAAAACATCAGCCGTTAGCTGTTAGCCCTCAGAGCTCACAGCTCCTCATATCTGTTCAGAAACTAGACAGAAGTTAAACAAGTACAAACCACAGACTGTCTGAGTCATGGAGAATATAGTCGCTGGTTTATTTATGTCTGTAGGCCGTTGTTGTGAGTGTGGACGGAGCAGCTACAACGTTAGCTTAGCCGATCGATCCGATCTCCATTCAGAAAACACGCATTTGAGTTTAGTGTGTGTGTGAATGCAACAGGTAGGCCTGAAAAAAACAAAATAAGTCACAAACTTTAGTAAATTGATCCCTGCATTCAATGTAATAATCTCTTTTCTGGTCTTCACACACACAGAAACACACACACTGTGGAACACTACTAATAGTAGATCAGGGTTCGTACGGGTGGTTGAAATCCTTGAAAATGCTTGAAATTTGACGTGGTGTTTTCAAGGTTGGGAAAGTGCTTGCATTTTGGGAATGGTGCTTGAAATTGAGATAAAGTGCTTGAAAATGTAAATGCTTTACTTTTACAATAAATTTCTGTCTGACTGAATAGTTCGCTTTTTAGATTAAAATAAAAGAATTGCTTCGCTTCTACATAAAACAGCTCCGCTCAGGCCTTCCCGCTCTGCACACGACCTACAAGTGTTTGTGTTACGTGTGACCTGGGCATTCTGATGAGGGTGATAGATGACAGTGTGCCAGGAGGTTGCAGTTTCAACCAAGCGGCAAACTCTGGGGAAGAGCCGGGACGCTAATACGGAAGTGCCTCAAACTGCAGTTCATCTAGTGGCCAGTAGGAGCAGTCTGCAGAAGGGAGCAAATTCCATAGACCCCAATGTTAAAATGCCCAACTTTAGAGCAGAATTAAACATGTTTACATCGTGGTTCAAAAAAACATATTCTCTGTATAGTTAGATCCCCCCTTGATGAATATGGATTGGGGGGGATGAATATTTTCTCAAGTCATCTCTTTTAATTAATATTAAGCCTTAAAGCTTTTGCATAAATTAGGGCGTGGTCACTTTGATGGACATGTACATGCCTCACTGTCAGCTAACAGCAACTTGTCCACTCTGCTAGGCTACAACCATAGAGGCTACAACGTTAGTTAGTCATAGTACTGTACTTGACCCTTTAGCTTTAGCCGTGTTCGTGGTGATTGTGCCTTTTAGGGAATATTGTTACAAATACCAGACAATTAAAATGTTGTGCTGTGCGCTTGAATGTACTAACACAACTTCCAAGAAGTCTAAAATGATAATATTATACATGTCCCGTTCGCAGGTGTTTGTGTGCTTGGTAGCTTAGCTTGTTATTAGCCAGCTAAGGATGTAACCCTTTATACTATATACATTTTAGTTTATGATTCAGCCTTGGGTAAGACTTTTATAGTCTATGGCTATGACGCCCATAATGCTAAACGGGAGCAAATGTTAATAGGGGACCCAATTATCCCAGTGGTGGCCGCCGGAGCTAACGGAGCCGCAGGGGGCTAGCTCCAGCCGGCTGGAGACTCCGCCTACAAAGGGCTTCTCGGCAACTCTGCAGAATCCTATGGGTGACGTCACGGACACTACGTCCATTTAAATATACAGTCTATGGTAAAACCCCATTTTAAATAACAGCATGAGGAAATGGTCTTACTCTTCTTTCAAACAGCCTTTCTTGCCGGCCTCCTCCTCTACCTCCTCTTCCTCCCCGTCATCATACGGACCGTGAAGGTACGGGTTCAGAGGAGGCGGGTGCCACAAGGAGCCGTTCTTAAACATCCTAAAGTCCTCTGTTTTCCATTTGACTGGCGCTTCACCCTGAGCAGGGAATAATGAGCAGTTAGTGACAAGATACAACCTCCTGAGACACTTCACTTAATGCTGAGTTCAAAGCTATTTGATTTAGAAATCTCACCTGTAGAATGGTGTAGATCTTCCACCGGTAGTATACATGTGCTGGGCTTTGGTTCTCAAATAGAAACCTGGAAAGGAAACACAAACGTCAGAAAAAACTACTTAAATTATCAAATGTAACAGTTATAGAGAGGGGAAGCCCCTCCCTTTCCGGGGAGCTCCATGGGACCTTATTTCTGAAAAAGTATGAATTGAAGTCAATGGAGAGAGAAAGATTATCTTTCGATCCCGTTTGAATTGTGCCACGAATTACACATATGATGTTTGTCAATTTAAAAGATAATTTTGCAAGTCAAAGAAATTTAAATGTGTGGTAAAACTGTGAAGTAACACTTTGTGTGAAACCGCTCAATGAACTACATCTCCCATCTCGCACCACACACCAAGAGACCGTCACGTTGGAACATTTCACCTCTTTCTTTCAGAATGAGGCAGAAAGTATTAAAAGAGGTGAAAATCACTCCAAGTCTGGGCATGTTGAGAGCTGTACACACACACAAGGGGAGTTAGTTGGTTCGTAAGAGCCAGCATGCGGGACCGGGACTCTGGGATTTGTAGTCTTTCTAGTTGTGTATTTTTCATATTCTTAGTCTATATTCCAACAGTTTTTGACAAACTGACTTTTTTGACATGGAAATGATTTTTTAAGATTGACAAACATCATATGTGTAATTCGTGGCACAATTCAAACGGGATCGAAAGATAACCTTCTCTCTCCATTGACTTCAATACATTATTTTTCCGATTATGGGGCGGAAGTAGAGGGGCGGGACTTCTCCTCTCTATGCTGATGTGCACGATGGCTCACCTGTACATGGGGTTGTTGATTTCTCTGTTCATGATCATGGCTTCAAACATTGGGCCTTCA